GGTTAAGTGAAAATATGACAGCAATCCAGGTCTTGTTTTAATCTAAAGAAAATTTCAGAATCTGTTGTACCTGTTAACCATGCCTCGTATAGATGTATTGAATCCAAATACAGGAAAGGGGAAAAGGAAGACTGAAGTGATTGATCTGTTTCTGTACAAGCACTGCACATAATCTACCACTCTTCAACTTGGAAAAGAGCAGGGATATTGTAGTACACTAAAACTGTGAAATGTAAAAAAATGCTTTTCCTCAGGAGTTAACACACACACCCCGTGCCTGGGCAAAATCGACCTTCAAGAATATCGTCACTTACTCTTACATGCCACGTGGAGGGCATTTTGCTGCCTTTGAGGAACCAAGGCTTCTGGCACAAGACATCCTGCACTTTGCAAGAAAGGTGGAACGGCTGTGAACCTGCAGCTTAGATACATCCATAGAATGGAACCCAGTTCTTCTGCCAGCAGCAGCAGCAGCAAAACTTCCACTTTGAGGGATTAAATAAGGTCAATGTAATCGCATAAAGTAACCAGCATTTTATTTTGATAATGGTTATAGCACGGAATTTGTTAAACAAGCTCCAAAGTTCTTGCTAAGAAAAAAACAACCACCAGCATCTTGTCTTCTTTCATTCCCAGCACCACATCATTGCTGCATTCATAGCTCAAGTGTAACCCAGTACGTAAACAGTTTAATGCAGTAACATTGAACCCCTTTGGGGAAGGGAATAGAAAAGAACTAGCACCTTGTTCATCAGAACTGAGGCTTCTCTTCCAAAGCTTCTTTAAATACCTGAGTGCCAGCATTCTTAAATATGCATGATAAACAGCTTTGGTGGAAGCGTAAAGGGTTTCCAGCTCCTGGGCACAAACACTGCTACGTTCAAGTTACATTTTAATTCAAAAGACCTCCATTTCTATAATCAAGGGGGCAGCTGCACAAAAGGCAGCTTTCTTCATTCCAGCAGGTTTTCCATTCTAGCAGCTCGGGCAGTTACTACACGTTGTAAACAGTTGTTAAGGAAGAATAAGGCAGAGACAGCACTCCTAGTCCTCTCCAGGCACAAAATTATCAACTTAAAATTCCTCCTCGTTCTAGAACCTTGTTCTATTTCAAAAGGTCAAAGATAAAATACGCACCAAGTGTTGAGAGCTACTTCAACCTCTACCCTCCTTTGAAAGGATTTTAACCACCCCACCGTGCAAGACCAAGTGTTTTAATAATCACATACATTGTCTGGAGCCCCAGCCTCTCAGCTACTGTAGCAATTATTTCCAAAAAAGCGGCTGCATTAAAACTCAGGAGAGAGAAGACTGTATCCAGCATTTGCCAATTCAGTAAGGAAGCAGCAGGAGAGTTTGACTCCCAACACACCAATTCATCTCTTGTGCCACAACTCAGGTCCCTAAAGAATCACTGGCCTGCGTGCAACGGTGCCTTCCAGAGCGTTGGCTTTCAACAACAGCTCAGGAGAGGAAGACAGATGAACACAGTCCATCTACAGGAAGGCAGCAGGTGCCCTGGGAGAGAGACCCAGACAGACAAGAAAAGACAGTTGCATTTGATAAACTGACAGTCGCTCAAAGCAGCACCAACGGTTACTCAAGATTCAATGACAGTTCTGCAGAACACAGGTCATTCCTGGAAGCCTTTCAGCATCACAGGTGCTTGGAACCAGACGTAGTCCTCCCAGGTAGAAGCCACGTGCTGAGCAGACGAGGCACTGAGGTGCTTCTCTCCACCACAGGACAAGTTCACAGTCAGCTTCTTCCCTCGGGTCGGTACCTTGTAGTTGAGCTTGGGCCAGAACCAATCCACACCACAATCACGGCGTCCTTGGAGCATGACAACAGTGTCCGTGGCAGGGAGAGCCTTCAGCTCACTGAAGACGTCCGCAACGAAGAGCGAGTGGAACAGCTTGCGCACACAGGACGCAGTCTGCAGGCTCTCCTCAGCGCTGCCCTCGCAGACGCCCTCCAAGTTGAGCTCATAGAGCTCCTTGGGGCTCATGATGGTGCCTCCAAGCAGGAAAAGAACCCGGGGAACCTGCGTCAGACTAAACATTACTTCCAAGTGCTGGAGCAGTCCTTCCAGGTCCCTCAGCGTCTGCTGGCACCTCTTGCTCGCCAGCTCCATCTTCTTCATCACATCTCCATCCTGGGGAGCAAACCAGAAGTAATGAGCACATTTCATTCTTGGCATCTATTAGTCCCAACACGCTCTTTAGAAAGCCCTGAGGGTCATGGAAGGTTCACCAGGTTCTAAGCTCCTTTTAAGAGATAAAGCTAGAAGTAAGAGTTCCAAAATAAGCCCCAACTTCTAGTCCACTTGGCTGAGCAACAAAACAGCAACCCGCTTCACGCAGAACCGGTGACTAGAGGAGATACATAGGAACGTGCCCAGACCCTCAACCATCGAGTCTAAAGCTTTTTTTAACCGAAGCTGTGGCAGCACCTAAGCCACAACCAGCGTTTA